ATTGTTTTCATAATAATTACTGCCGTCCTATCTTACATTGACATTGTTGCCTTTATGATATTTCCTATATTTCCTGTACCTCTATTGATAATAATGAGGTCAGTGTCATTGTTGGGTTTACTGGCTAGGCGCTTTCTCAGCTGGGTGATAATTCGGGTGGTAGCAGGGCCCATCTCCCTTGTACTTCGTCTGGGTCGCCTCCACAATTCCGCAACTCCACAATAGATCGACACTACTTTACAGTACTGACACGGTGGCCTTGTATAGGCCACTTTCACGCCATTACACTACCTACCAAGGAGGGAGTTATGATGCACATCATCACGACTTTACCATCATTATCATTATCATTAAAATTTATTTCTTCATTTCTTATGCAAGCCAACAATTTTGCTTAGTGTCTGCCTCTGTGAAACTTGCCATTTATCAGGTTGTCAATAAGGAATCGCCACCAGGTGGGAAGCAAGAGCACTCAGCTGTTGAAGACGAAACGCCATCACATGTTGTTGAGCATGTTGTTAAAACCGTTGTCAAACGACGTCGAGCCCTGCCAGGTTGTTCGATTAATTCAGATATCGTTTTCTATCATTATAATTAAAGGCATTCAGGGCGATAAATGGAGGGAAGGGACATAAGTAGGATGAGGAAAAGAGGTAGAAATGAGAGGGAACAAAAGTGTTTCTTGGTTGATGCCTGGCGCCAGGAATACCCCCATAATGCCGTCTTAAATTATGGGAAATGAAATTTTGTTACAACGGCAAGATTGCAGAATTTGACAGTTACGTCTATCCCAGGCAGGAAACAATAAGTCTGCAGCACAAGATTGAATGTGAATCATTAATGTTCATTAAACCGGTAACCTTTACATCCATCTAGTTAGATACACTGCTTGATACTTGAAACGGATACTAGTTCACTGCCAAACCAGTAGTTTGTAATCAATAGCCATGCCATCTTTATTTTGTTTTGGTTTTGACCAATGCTGTTACGCCTAGTGGTCAGTTTTGTGGCCATTTTGGTATTCCTTTTTACCATATGTAGGTTTGGCGTTCCTTTTTTTATCGCCTGAAGAAGTTGTCGGATGATTTGTTAGCTGTCAGCTTTCTAAAATTAACTTAGCTTATTTTTTTCTGGTTTTGGATATGGAAAGCAACTGTTGATTGTACAGGGATCTTCGCAATTTTGGAAAAGCAACATGAAGTGAAGGATGTGGGAACATCAACAAGAAAGAAACGTGTCGAAAAGAGTGTCAGCTCACGGGATCAGCCAACGCTGAGGACAAATAGCAGTGCTGAGGTAAGTTTCAAAACTCGAGAAAAAAAATTAAAAAACTTTATGTTTACACAGTTCTCTGTGGTGTGTTCTGCTTTTTCTTGGAAGTATTAAGGTTGCTAGTCAATGTTGCTAGTCAATGGATGTGCCGGATTAGGCTTAGTAAAATTTACCGCAAGCTAAACTGTCTATGGTTCTTTCCTGGTAGAGTTGATTAGAAGCAATTTGATAAAGTCTGAACTTAAAATTACTCCGTTATTTCCATCTCATTTATATATCGTGCGAGTTCAGCTTTATTTACTCAGCTACGTCTTCAAGTATATATACTCATCGTACGTCCTGAGCAGATATTAATTTACTATCGAAACGAATGAAAATAGAAAGCCATCGACAAAGTCGCGTGTTTAACCTACAACACAACAACAGTGATAGTTGTCGCGCAATGCCGCCCAATAATTTATGTTTTTTCAAAAAAAAAAACCCTTTATAGTTTAATTTTAGGAAAGAAATAATGAGAATTCAAGTGTGCATCATAAAATACTCATTGGATTAGCTAGTATTTTTGTTGCCTTTGAATTATCTCGATTTGCCGCAATCACTTTATCTCATTCAAAGGTACGTTTTGCTTCCTGACAGGCTTCTCAGGCAATGCATCGATTCAAAGATAAAAAATGGCCAACGCATGGTCTGCCCGTGCGAAGATGCGTTTTTTGCAGAGTTCTCCGCAGGTTTTTGTCGCTACCGGCATCGGTT